AGCGTATGGGGTACACACAGACACATAGACAAGGCCTGACGCTTAGCGGGCGGGGCGCACAGCAGAATACAGACAAGACCAGACGCTCAGCGGACACACAGACACACAGACAAGACCAGACGCTCAGCGGTCGGGGCACGCACAGACACACAGACAAGACCAGACGCTCAGCTGTCGGGGCACACACAGACACACAGACAAGACCAGACGCTCAGCTGTCGGGGCGCACACAGACACACAGACAAGACCAGACGCTCAGCTGACGGGGCGCACACAGACACACAGACAAGACCAGACGCTCAGCCGACGGGGCACACACAGACACACAGACAAGACCAGACGCTCAGCCGACGGGGCGCACACAGACACACAGACAAGACCAGACGCTCAGCCGACGGGGCGCACACAGACACACAGACAAGACCAGACGCTCAGCCGACACACAGACACACAGACAAGACCAGACGCTCAGCCGACGGGGCACACACAGACACACAGACAAGACCAGACGCTCAGCCGACGGGGCGCACACAGACACACAGACAAGACCAGACGCTCAGCCGACACACAGACACACAGACAAGACCAGACGCTCAGCCGACGGGGCACACACAGACACACAGACAAGACCAGACGCTCAGCCGACGGGGCACACACAGACACACAGACAAGACCAGACGCTCAGCCGACGGGGCACACACAGACACACAGACAAGACCAGACGCTCAGCCGACGGGGCGCACACAGACACACAGACAAGACCAGACGCTCAGCCGACGGGGCGCACACAGACACACAGACAAGACCAGACGCTCAGCCGACGGGGCACACACAGACACACAGACAAGACCAGACGCTCAGCCGACGGGGCACACACAGACACACAGACAAGACCAGACGCTCAGCCGACGGGGCGCACACAGACACACAGACAAGACCAGACGCTCAGCCGACGGGGCGCACACAGACACACAGACAAGACCAGACGCTCAGCCGACGGGGCGCACACAGACACACAGACAAGACCAGACGCTCAGCCGACACACAGACACACAGACAAGACCAGACGCTCAGCCGACGGGGCACACACAGACACACAGACAAGACCAGACGCTCAGCCGACGGGGCACACACAGACACACAGACAAGACCAGACGCTCAGCCGACGGGGCGCACACAGACACACAGACCAGACCAGACGCTCAGCCGACGGGGCGCACACAGACACACAGACAAGACCAGACGCTCAGCCGACGGGGCACACACACAGACAGACAGACAAGACCAGACGCTCAGCCGACGGGGCGCACACAGACACACAGACAAGACCAGACGACTCAGCCGACGGGGCACACACACAGACACACAGACAAGACCAGATGCTCAGCCGCCGGGGCACACACACAGACACACAGACAAGACCAGACGCTCAGCCGACGGGGCACACACAGACACACAGACAAGACCAGACGCTCAGCCGACGGGGCACACACTTCAGACACACAGACAAGACCAGACGCTCAGCCGACGGGGCACACACACAGACACACAGACAAGACCAGACGCTCAGCCGACGGGGCACACACTTCAGACACACAGACAAGACCAGACGCTCAGCCGACGGG